GGTTGCCCAGGGAGGTTTGGAATGCCCGTCCCTGGAGGTGTCCAAGGAATTCCTGGAGGTGGCACTCAGTGCCCAGGGTGGGGACTGGGCACAGCTTGGACTCGATGATCCCAGAGGATTTTCCAGCCTCAGCGATCCTGGGATTCTGTGATCCTTTTTTGGAGTCAGCACCTCGTTATTCCTGGGGTTTGGGGCTGTGATGGATTTTAACTTCTTTGGATTTTAACTTTCCCCCCTTTTTTTCTGGCAGCTGCAGAGAGGCGTGAGGGAAACACAATTCCCCTCCTGCAGGGAAGGAGAGCAGCAGCACCCCTGGATTTGGGAATAGCAGAGGCTGCCCTGCCAGGGGGAACCCTCCATTTCAGGTGTTTTTTTTGCCTGAAGATGCCAAGGAAAAAATTCAAAAAGGGATTTTGAAACGTCTTGTGCTGCTCAGGGCAGGGCTCAGCTTTCAGCCCCCCAGGCTGGTGAGGATCCCGAGATGGGATCAGCACAGACAAATCCCAGGGTCCTTCCCAGGGATGGGCAGAGACCTGGCTGGAGCAGAAATGGGAAGTGAAAAGGTGAAGGGACACAAGGAGAGCAGGGAATTCATGGAAAGGGGAAATAAGGGATAAAATCCCGCAGAAAATCGGGATTTATTAAAGGAAATGAAAGCACAACAAATGGAAAAGGGGGTTTTGGAGAGGGAATTTGGGATTGGGGATGGGTTGGGATCCTTCAGGGAGCAGAAAAGTGAATTTATGGCTCATGCTGAGTCAGGGCTGATTTTAATCACAGAGTTTTTGCATTTAGAGCTGCTCCAGCCCAGAGCAGGGAGATCTGAGCATTCCCCAGGGTCTGGGGGGTGTTTGGAGCACAGACATGGAGCTGCTCAGGACCCCTGGACACATCCCAGCCCTGTCCCTGCCCTGGAACCAGCCCCCCTCCCTCTGTCTCCAGGCCTTTCTCCTCCTGGGTTTGCCCCTTGTGATTCCTGGAGCTGCTCAGGGAAATTTTGGGAATAAAGGATTGAGGAGAAGCCTCTGCATCTCTGGCTGCCTGCTCAGAGGATGGAAAAAACCCACAGGCTCAGGGAAAGGCTGCTGGAATCTGTTCTCAGAGGATGCCCCTGAAGTTCTGCTGCTTCCAGAGGGGCTGATCCCAGTCCTGGGCAGTCCCAGGCTCGTGTTCCCCTGGGATGGGAGGCCAAGGTCAGCTCCCTGCAGCTCTCCTGGGCCCCTGCACAACATCCCAGGGAGAATCCCAGACATTGGGGGCAGAAATAAAATGTGGGATGGATGGACAGGAAAAATCCCTGGGGAGGGAGGGGGATCCTGCCCTGGGATCCCAGCCAGGGGTTGAGGATTCCAGGCATGTGCCAATGAGGGAACCGTGCCTGGCAGGGAAGGATTCTGTTGCCTGGCAGGGAAGGATTCTGTTTAAAAAAGGGAAATGATAAAAACAGGAGTGTTCTCCCAGCCCCTGCCCATTCCCATTCACTTTGTGTCCTGGAAATTACCTAGGAAAAGCTTCATTCCCACAAACCTTGGGGGTTTTGGAGTTTGAAAAACCTTTATTCCCACAAAATGTGGGTATTTTGGATGGAAAAAGCTTTATTCCCGCAAAACTTTGGGGTTTTGGAGTCCAGAAAACCTTTGTTCCTACAAAACTTGGGTATTTTGGGGTTTGAAAGAGCTCTATTCCCACAAAACTTGGATATTTTGGAGTTTAAAAACCCTTTATTCCCCCAAAACTTGGGGGTTTTGGGGTGTGACCCAGTTTTCGAGACACTTGACTCAGATTCCAGCTCCAGATCTACCTTGGCACCAGATCCTGGTTCTGGTTTGGGGTCAATCCCATCTGAATGGCCAAAGGCAAACACTGCAGTGATAGCGTGGCCTTAATTGTTTTTTTGATTTAATTAGGAGCCGGATCTGGGTTTGGGGCAGGGCACAAAGTGGATTAGGGGAGCAGCTGCCTCTTTAATTAGGGCTGTTTCTCCTCCCTTTGAGTTCACCCTTGGCTCTCGCAGGGGCAGCTCCGGGCTCTGGGAATCCTCCGGCATCGCGGTGCCGAGATCCCAAACTGGCAGAGCCGGGGGCCGGTTATTTATAGCCCCTGGGGGGAAATATTTATTTGGATTCCGACCCTTAATCTGCTCCTGGCGGATTCTGTGGAAAGCCTGAGCCCCCTTCTCCTCCTGCAGCAATTGATATCCAGAGCCTCCCTGTCCCCCCAGCGCTCCAAACACATTCCCAGGGATTAATTCTGCCCAGAACGGGCCTGGCCTGGGCTCAGCCCCTGCAGCTCTGTCTGCTCCCAACCATCCAGCAGGAATCCTGCCCTCTGCGTGCCCCACCTGGCATGGAAACCCAAACCAGGGACCCCTGGGACAGCAGAGCCCCCCCAGGGCAGCCACCTGGTCCCCAGTCCCTCAAGAGCTGCCCCAGCTCCTGGCACAGGAGGTGTTCCCTGCTGGCAGCACCGATGGATCCTCAGATCCTCACCACGATCCTGGGCCTGTGGGGAGCTTCAGCCCAGCCCCAGAGCTCCCCCAGAGCAGGGCAGCAGCAGGGGACAGGTCCCAGCTGTCCCACCCCAGGCAGGCTCATGGGCTTTCCTGACAAGGACACCTTTCTCTGTCACTTCCTTGAGTATTTGATGGCAGAGAACCCTGCTGTTCCTGCCCTGGGGTGGATTTTTCCTTTGGTGTTGCCTGTCCTTGTTGTTTCCTGCTCAGGGGGGTGTGGACACATTAGAGATCCTCAGTTCTGGGCAGGTGAAGCAGCTGCTTGGAGAGCAGAGCTCTGAAGCCTCCCCCCTCCAATCCCCAAAACCTCCCCTCTTGGTCCCCAAAACTCCCCCCTCCATCCCCAAAACCTTCCATTTCCATCCCCAGAACTTCATACTCACAATGCCCCATTCCATCCCAATTTCTCTCTCCATCCCAAAAACCTCCCTCTCCATCCCCACATCCTCCTTTCTTCATCTCCAAAATTTTCTCACTTTCATCTCCTCATCCTCCCTTCTCCATTCTCACAAACTCCCCTCTTCCATCCCAAAATTCTCCCCCTTCCATCCCAACCTTCCCCCTCCATTCCCACAGTCTCCCCTCTCCATCCTCAACATCTCTCCCTCTTTATCCCCACATTCTCCCCTATTCCATCCCATCTCCCTCCTCACAATTTCCATCTCCATCCCCCCAAAAACTCCCCTCTTCCACCCCCACCACCTTCCCCTCTCCATTACCACAACCTCCCCTCTCCATCCCAAAAACCTTCCCTTTCCATACTCACAATGCCCCATTCCATCCCAATTCCTCTCTCCATCCCAAAAACCTCCCTCTCCATCCCCACATCCTCCTTCCTCCATCCCTCAAAATCTCCCATCTTCCATCCCCACAATCTCCCCTCTCCATCCCCGAATTCTCTCCCTCTCCATCCCAAAATCTCCCCTCTCCCAGGAAGGCTCTGCAGCTCAGGGGTGGCACAAGAAGCTGCAGCAGCAGCAGATTTCTCTCCCTCTGAGCTCTTCATGCTGGAAAAAAAGCTGAAGGAGAATCCTGAAATTCAGGAGGCAGCTGAGGCTGGAGAGCTCGTGGAGCAAGGAGCAAAGCTCCTGGAAGTTTCTGGAAGCAAGCCCTGCACACAGCCAGGTGAGTTTGCACTCCGTGTACCATTTTTATTTGACATAGATATAAATTTTTATATATTACAGCATTAAAAACAGATTATTTGTAAAAACAAACGGTTTTGGCTTGGTTTTTGTGTTTGTTTTTTTTTTTTTAAGCTCAAAGCCACCCCAGCATGTCCCAGGTCCCTCCTTCCCCATCTCCCTGCTCCTTCTGGGACAACCTATGGATTTCCCTTCTCCCACTGGAAAAACAAGGTTTGTGTCCTTGTACAGCCCTTCCAGAGCCACCACGAAGTGTCCCTTACTGCCCTGTCCCCCTCCTGCAGCGCTGGGGGACAGCTGGGTCCTCCTGCAGGGCTGGGAGGGGACACTGGGACACCGGGACAAGGTGGCAGTGCCAGTGTCACACAGAGCTGCCAGCAGCCCTGAGCAGTGTCCCGGGCTCGGGCAGGGGTGGCTCAGGGGTGGGGAAGGGCTGGAGAGGTGGCTCTGACCCTCGGAGAGCAGGGACAGACTCCTCCATCCAGGAGGGGAGAGCTGGGATTAAAATCCACCCTCAAATCGGCTCAGTTGGAGTAAAAAGAGGCTCAAAAGGTATAAAAATAGGCTCAAGAGGAGTGAAAATAGGCTCAAGAGGAGTAAATAAGACTCCTTTGGGCTCTCACTCCTTTTCCATACACCACCCTAACCTCCTGGAGAATCCTCCTGGATGAATCCTCCTGGATGAATTCCTCCTGGAGCTTTTCTTCTGGAGAATCCCCCTGGATGAATTTCTCCTGGAGAATCCTCCTGGACTCCCTGCCTCCTGCCCTGAATCCTCCTGGATGAATCCTCCTGGAGAAATCCTCCTGGAGCTTTTCTTCTGGAGAATCCTCCTGGATGAATTCCTCCTGCCATCCCAGGAACTCCCTGTCTCTCCATACCCTGAATTCCCCTCCTGGACAGCCCCTGGCACCAGGAAATCCCCCCAGGCCCCTTTTCCTTCCCTGGTGGGACTGGCCACACACGACTGGGGCACTGTCCCACCTCACCACTCCCACAGCCCCAGCTGGAGCTTTTTTCCACCCAGGAACCAGTGCCAGGCAGGCTGGGAGGGCTGAGAGTGGATAGAGGAGAGGCACTGACATCCTGAGAGATTCCTCCCTCTGCAAATCCCCTGAGAAAAACGGATAACATGGAATTTTTCCTTTGGACAGCACCTATTGAAAAGTTCTTCCCTCTGTCCTGGACTTGACGAAGGCTCAATCCCTTCCCATAAATCTGAAAAATATCCTTTATGGCCTCCCAGCTGCAAGGGGAAGCTTTAGCTGGGAAATGAGAATAAATGAGCAGCAAAAGCTCTCCCTGATCCATTGGAGTTCCAGGAGTGTGTCTGAAGTAGGGAATTAAAGCTGATGCACTGATTTGTATTTTACCAAGGACTCCAAAAAGTCCTGCTGGACACACAACCCAAGCAGAGAACAGACGATGATTTGTCAATCAAGGGGCTGGTGAGGAGAAAAAAGGGAAATGAGTGCTGGATCGTACCCATCGTGGCCAAAAGGCTCCATCTGGTGGTGTTTGCACCCAAAAAGGAGCTGGGAGGAGGTGGGGAAGCACGGATTGCACTGGTTAAACTGGTTCACAGCAGAGGGAGGGCTCGAAACTCGAGGTAATCCCAAGCTGGGAGAAGGGGTGGCACGAAGGGAACGGGAATTTTGTTTGGAGGAATGCACCTGCAAGGGGATAAAGCAGCCAGGGGGGCTCAGAGGAGCCAGCAGGGCCACAAAACCTGAGCTGTGGCCACAAAACCCAAGCACAGCCAAGATGTGCTGCCCTGCACGGGGCAAATGCATGCAAGCAGGAGTGGGAATAATATGGCAAATATTTAAATGCTTTTCTCTTAAGCACAGCCCAGAGCATTCCCATCAGGGGAAAGGGATCCTGCAGGAACAGCCAGGAGCAAAATGACAGGCTCAGATATGGAAATGGGCTGGAAAGTTTGTTATTCTGTTAAAAAAGAGGCAGGGACAGGAGAAATGTGAGTGGTTAGAAAATTCAGGCTGGTCCTGCTAAGCCTAGGCAGCTGCAGGGGGAGAAGAGGGAGGGATCCTTCATCTCCAGCTTGGGCAGGACAGGGAATAACCAGCTTGAATTCCCTGGTTTGCAAAAATGAGGAAGGTTTGGGATGGTAGAGAGGAGCTTGCTCCCCTCTTTGCCCCAAAATCACTCAAGCATTGGTCAGGAATGGAACCAGGACAAGTCCCTGCCCAGAGGAGCCTGGTCCCTGCATGGAGCTGCTCCAGGGATGGGCTGCAGCTCCAGTGCCTCCCAGTAAGAGCCAGGGAACCCAACTGGTGGGCAGGGGGAGGACAGGGCCCCTGGCACCTGCAGGTTTTTCACGTTGGAGAAGCTGCTGGTGCTTCCCAGCTGCGGCAGCTCAGAGGCCCTGGGAGCTCCAGGTTGGGGCAGGGAACACTGGCCAAGGGCCAGGCCAGAGGGGTTTTCATGGAAAAGGGTCGGGATGGCCGTGGAAAGGCTGGAAAAAGCTCAAGTGCTGGGCTCAAGAGCAGAGGGAGGTGGAGCTGCCCCGCTCTGTTTGTCCCTGCTGGAATTTCCAACATTGGAGTAGCCAGGGCTGGGATCACCCTTCAAACACAGGGATGGAGCTGGGAGGTGGGGAGGGGGCTCTGGGAGGGGACCCAACACTGGCACTCACAGCCATTATCACACACTGCCATGGGGGCACTGTCACAGCCCTCTGCTCCTCCAGAGGAGCCAGGGCTCCCAGAGATGTCCCATTCCAGAAATGTCCCATCCCAGAGATGTCCCCATCCCAGAGATTCCCCCTCCTCATCAGCTTTTTGAGGCACCAAACACAACAAAGCAGAGCCCTCCATCTCCCCAGTCCACTCCTGGGGGTGCAGAGACCCCAGACCTGCAGCAGGAGGGTCCCAGCCCCAAGCCATGCTCTCTCCTGGAGGTTCCTGGGGTCGCCCCTGTGCTGGGGGATGTGGGGCAGAGTGGGGGTGCTCGAGGCCCCCCCGTGCCCCGTCAGCAGGTGAAGAAGCGCCGCACCACCAGGTGCCCCAGCAGCACCAGGGCTGTCACCACAAGCATGTACTTCATGTAAATATTGTCCAGGTGCAGCGCGGTCCCCTGCCAAGGACGGGACACCGTGGGGTCAGGCCTGGTGGGGTCCTCGACCCCCCCAAACCCCGACCCCCAAACGCTGAATCTCCTGACACCCAAACCTTGACCCTCTGGCATCCCCTGGTCCTCGTGACCCAAAAACCCTGGCTATGGTGACATCCTGATCTTGACCCTGCAGACACCCTTGGGTGTCCCCTGACCCCCAAACCCTGATCCCCAAAACCTAGCCCCCCTGACCCCC